TTAAAGCAAGACATCTGTCTTAGGCTTGACAGGATGCATGGGAACTCCCCAGGATACCTAGGAATGTGATGCTGAGCCAGGATTTCTGGGTGGAAGCATGAGATTCTGCATTCTAGCAGGTACCCAGGTTCCTGGTCCACACTTCGTTTGTCTTCATGATGACCCAAGATAGGAACTGCTCACCTGTGTTGTGCACCACCTCTGTGCCCCTCCCCTTGCTGTGTGAGCTAGCTTCCTTCCTTCTTTCTTTCCTTCCTTCCTTCAGTGGAACTGGGGTTTGAACTCACAGCTTTGAACTTGCAAAGCAAGTGCTCTACCTCTTGAGTCACACCACCAGTCCATTTTGCTCTGGTTATTTTGAAGATGGGGTCTCAAGAACTGTTTGCCTGGCCTAGCCTTGAACTGCAATCCCCTTGACCTCAGCCTCCCAAGTAGCTGGGATTGCAGGCATGAGCCACCAGCACCTGGTCAGTTCTTATTTCTTGAGTTAAGCCTTAGGGCTTAAGGCTGTAAATCTCCTTCTCTTCCCTAGATATTTCCTAAGTATTATGGTGAATAGTAAAGACCATTCTAGGCCTAACCCCCCCACACAGGTGGCTTACTGGGAACTCCCCACCCAACCGCAAAGACTGACAAAGGGACAATTAACCTTTATCTCTGATGCATGGGTTTGAGGCACTCAACTAACCTTGGGCTAACCTTCTCTAAACTTTAAAAAATTAAAGATAGGATCGCTAGGGGCCTGTGGCTCAGGCTTGTAACCACAGCTACTCAAGAAGCAGAGATCAGGAGGATTGCGGTTCGAAGCCAGCCTGGGGAAAATAGTTCATGAGACCCTATCTCGAAAAAATCCTTCACAAAAAAGGGTGGTGGAGTGGCTCAAGGTGTAGGCCTTGAGGTCAAACCCCAGTACCACACCCAGAAAAATTAACGATAGGAACACTGGCAGAGTAAAAGCAAAGGAATCTTCATTGCCACAAAGTGAAAGTGAAGGCTACTCAAAGAGCCAAGCAGCAGGACCCGGAAACCGGTAGACTGGTGAGGTGCTTTAGGTTTCCCTTTTTATTGCCTTTTCAACTCTCCCTTTGCTCCCCCACTCCTTCCAAAGTTCACTGGTCCCTGGAGTGTGCATTCAGAGCTTCTGCTTCTTGTGATTTTTGTCACCTCTGTTCTCAATGCTTTCTTGCTGCAGATGGGGTCTTCTGAGAAAAACCACCAAGCCTCCTCTGCAGCTGCAAAGATGGTCTCGCAGCCCCTGCTTACAAATTTAGTTAGACAGGCTGCCCCTGCCCCATCAGACCACTTGCTAAGGCACTGGTGGACATTGCTTCAGGGCCAGCAACATCATTCTCCCTTTCATCTCCAGGGGCATCAAGACCAGTTGAGCAGGTGATCTTCCTTTGTTTCCCAGCAGCAACATTCCTTAGTGACCACAAGAAAATTTTCCCGCCCAGTGACCTTCCTGGTACTTTTCCACCAGCTCCCCCTGTATCTACCCCAAGCCTGTATGTGGCCGTGGGTTCTGGCTTTTTTGCTGAAGACCCTTCCATAGGCTTTCTTTCCCAAATAAAGCTTGTGCTGATGTTGACCTGCCTATCCTTCTGTGCCTCTCTTCAGTCTAACTCTAAGCACCTACTATGTGTTGGATTCTGCTGTTGCCTGTGATGTCATAGTTATGCAATTTTTTTGTGGGGCTGGGAACAAGTGCCTTCTGTAGGAATGGGCTCACAAAGGCCACAGGAACAACACCAAGGCCAGATGCAGTGTCTCACACCTGTAATCCCAGTTACTTGGAAGCAGAGATTGGGAGGATCACGGCTCAAAGACAGTCTGGGCAAAAAGTCAGCAAGATCCTATCTCAACCAACGAGTCAGGCATGGTAGCACCTGCCTGTCATCTCAGATAAGCAGGAGGTGTAAATAAGAGGATTACAGTCCAGGCTGGCCTGGGCAAAAAGTGAGACTCTATCTCAAAAGGGCTTGGGGTGTGGCTCAAGTGGTAGAACACCTGCCTAGCAAGTGTGAGGCCCTGACTTCAAACGCCAGTGCCACCAAACAAAACAACAAGCACTAAAAAACCAATCACAATGAACAGCATTTGTGGAGCCCTCCCTCTGTCGTGAGCCTTGTGCATGGTTGGTGCTGTTAATTCTTACTATCACCGTGTGAGGAGGGTGGCACTGAAATGCCTGGTTACAAACAAGAAGGAAAACAGTTCAGCAGTGAATGGCACACAGTGAGAAGCTAGGCCACCGGCCTCCACCAGCCATGTGACTTTGAGCAAGTCACTTCAATACTTTTCAGCCTTGTTGCCATTCATACATTGGCTATGGAAAATCTTCCTATACCTTAAGGCCTTAACATAGGCTCACTGGCTTATGCAGACAGAGCCGGTGATGCTTAGGACTGCCTGACTATCCCAGGCACACAATTAGTCTACAGCAAGCCCAGCATCTTCAGCAATGGGGACCTTTTCTTCTGTCTGCAGCTCCTGCCTGGTTTATCAAACTCTGCCCTTGCCCCTGACCTTGACGTGGATGGACCTGCCAGCAGTCGGTCCTCAGGGAGAGGGTGGGGACTCTGGAGGAGAGGACACCACCCTACTGAGGCTCTAGGAGCAGCCACTGTCCAGGTGGGCTGAGGTGGTAGTGGGGGGCAAAGGGAAGTTTGGGGTGTCCTAAAATCCTATGAGTGTCTGGAATACTGCCTCTTTCCCAGCTCCCTCTCAGCAGCTCTGCCAGGAGTCTGATTCTTTAAGCCCCCTCACCTGAGAAATTCTAGACACGATGGGGGCGGGGCATAAGATGAGCACATGATCTGTTGGGCAGAGCATCCTGGGTTGGGAGGAGGAGCCATGTGGTGATCAAGGGGCTTCAGGGTGTTTCCTCTCTGGGGATGCCAGGTAACCTGAGACCCCACCTCTATAAATGTCCCTGCATTAATGAGGCATTGCCTGCACCAAATGGGGAAAGGGAGGCACATGGCAGGAGGGAGGAGTTTGTGCTCAGGGTCCAACAGACCTGGGTTCCTTTGAGCTCTGCGATTTAGGCAAGAGTCTCACTGTCTTTGTGCCTCAGTTTGCTTTTCTGTTAAAGGGGCACCTTCCCTCCTGCAGATGCCACTACTTGGGTCTCTCCACCCTATTCCTAGGGCTCAATTTCCCAGACAGCTGAGGAGAGGGGGGTGGGAAACCATGGGCCTTGTGATGGGGGTTAGCATCTGGTAAAAAGCAGGCACGGTTTATGTAGGGGATCCAGCACATAGTAGGCAAGCTTTAGGTAGAGCAGGCAGCATACAATAGGCACACTATGGACAACAGGTGACATTCATCAGATGCACTTAGAGCAGGTGGCATTCAGTAGGCACACTTTAGATAGAGCAGGCAGCACACAGAAAGCAGGCTTTATGTAGAGTACCAGGCACTCAATATACAGGTGCAATTCCCTTGCATGCTTTATGTAGAGCACACAGTAGGCATGTTTTATGGAGCAGACCCAGCACACAGTAGAAGAACTTTCCCTACCATCTTTTGCACAGAGCAGAGGCGTAGCTCAGAGAAGCTCCAGTAGTATTTGCTGCGCCTTCCCTCATTTCCTCTTTTTGGGGCTTTCTTCTCTATGGAGCCCTCTTCTGTCTTCCTCTAAGGCCCTCATCAGACATCCCATTTCCTACAAGGGAAGACTGAGCCCAGCAGGTCCTGCTTTGCCCATTCAGAGAAGGATGGGGCCGAATGAGATTCCACTTAGGGTCACCTGGCTCTGCCGTCCCCTGTCATCTTCTTGCTCATCCTCTGCTCAGGACCCTCCTCCCTCCATCTCTCATCTCTCCTAGAGCCCAGACTCCAGATGTGCTGCTCCACCTGAGCTCTTTACCTGTGGAATTTGACCTGAGCCCCGGTTCTCTCTTCCTGAAATTCATGTCTCACCTGGGCCCTGGGCTGCTCAGAGGCAGGACTGAAACCTTGTCAGGCTGAGCAGTGGTGGACAGAGACTTGCATCTCAGAGCCCCCAGATTCTAGCCAAGAAACGGGTTCTGTGTCCTCCCAGCCCACCTTGGACAGGATCCTGGGAGAATATTCTGGCCCTGGTCTCCTGTCCTCAGAACCTCCAGTCTATGCTTTTACCTGATGAAAGGGTAGGGGTGGTTGGACACTTGGGGGCTCAGAGTCATCTTTGTCCACCCCCAAAACTTGTCCACCCTACATTTGGTTCCCATGCTCTGTAGCCCGAGTTGGTCCCTCTGTAACCACTGGCCCCACCCCCACATCTTGGTCACAGGCCCAGGCAGGGAGGAGACACTGGGACCTGTGGGGGATTGGCTGGTCCAGCCCAGAGCAGCTCAGCCTCTTCTGGTCAGAAGCCAGGGACAAAGAAGTGCCAGCAGAGGGGAGAGAGATTGTGGGGACAAGCTACTGCTGACAGGTGCCAAGCTGTCATAGAGGTGGGGCTGAGGGGGAGTCTAGCCTAGAATGGGAAGGGTACTGCCCAAGGTTGGGTGGCTCCACGGATCTAGCTGACCTGGGAGGCTGGTGGTTTCTGGGTGACAGCCTCTGGCCACCTTCCTATGATTCAGACAGGTTTGGACTCTGATGGGACTCTCCCCTCCTCCTCCTCCTCGTCCTCCTCCTCCTGGTCCTCTTCCTCTTCTTCCTCTCCCCTTTCACTACCTCTTCTCTGGTCTCACTCTCCCTTCCTGCTCTGCCTTTCAATACTAAGTCTCTGCCCCTGTCCTGTGTCTCTGGATTTCCCTGTCCATCTCCTGTCCACAGGTGCTCACTCTGTCCATCTGCCCTGCAGGATGCCACGGCTGAGCCTGTCCTGGCTGGGCCTGGGGTCGGTGGCCGCCTCCCCGTGGCTGCTCCTGCTGCTGGTTGGGGCCTCCTGGCTCCTGGCTCGTGTCCTGACCCGGATCTACGCCTGCTATGAAAACTCTCGCCGCCTCCAATGTTTCCCTCAGCCCCCCCAACGGAGTTGGCTCTTGGGTCACCTGGGCCTGGTGAGTGTGACAGCAGTGCGGGCCCAGGTGGATGGACTTGTGAGGGGTCGGGGAGTTAGGGGAAGTGTGTGGGCTTGGAGTTCTTGTCATGCCATCCCAAGCCTTGCTCCCATCCCTGTCCTCTCACCCCTAGTCTATTTTGGGTTTGTTTCCTTCATATCTTCCCCATATTGGTGCACCCATGGGGGGACCCCAGAGCAGGCTGGCCAGACTGAGGCTCCCTGGTGTCCCACAGTCTCCAGTGCTGGACTTCAGGCCTTCTGAGGGGCACTGTCCAGGGTCTGCTTTCTGCTTGAACCATGTCTTTGTGTCCATCAATCTCTGGGCTTCTGGTTATCCACCACAATGGTCTTTGATCTCCCTCCCCCACCACATGTGTGTGGCAGAAGAAAGGCATGGCTGTCTCCCTCCTCCCCTTCCTTATCTGACTTTTCTTTCTTAAGATGTACTAAGTTAACCAGTTGCCCAATCTGGATGAAAGCTGACCACTTCCCCTTTCAGAAGCTATCCTTGACCCCACCAGTGTCTCTACACCTTGGCTTGGACTTCTATCTGCTTCCTCTTTTGGGTGATGTAGTGGCCTTGGTTGCCTCCTGCAAATGGCATAGTTGACTGGAGTGTGAACTGTGGAGGTGCAGTGGATCAGGATCTCTACCTTAGCCTGGTGGGACACAAGTGCTCCTTACTGACGGACAGTAAGAGGTCACCTCCACTCCCCTGGGATCTGGCAAGGCTGTAAGCTCCCCCTTTGCAATCCTTCCCCATGGGAGGAGCTGGAGGCTGTGTGGACCATCAGGACATGAAAGGAGGTGAGACAAGCCTTAGGGACAGGTCCTGAGGCCACACTGCTGTCCACAAATCTTACCTGTGGGAGTTTCCTCTTGTGGCTACCCCTGGGGCTGGAAGCACTCCCAGGGGAAAAAAAAAGATCCATGTTCTCAAGCCAAGGTGGAAGTCATGGTTTGGCTGTGAAGTGTCCTCACAGGCTCATGGGTTGAACACGTGGTCACCAGCTGGTGGTGTCATTTTGGGAGGCTCTGGAAGCTTCTACAATTATGACCTAGCTGGAGATGTAGATTCCAGGGGCCATGTCTTTAGGGATTGTATTTCGTCCCTGGACGACTCTTTCTTTGTCTTTACCTCCTGTTTACTATGAAGTGAAGAACCCTCCTTGTCACACACTCCTGCCACCATGATGCTCTGCCCAAATCTGTGGGGCGAAGAGACCATGGACTAAACCTTCTGAAACCGTGAGCCAAATAAACCATTCCTCCCTTGCTTATGTCCGGTATTTGATCTACAGATTTTATAGTTGTGGGATCACTGATGAGACTAAACCTGTTCAAGTGGCTCTTAAGCCTTTGCAACTGGCTTGTGGGAGGAATTTGGCTGTTTGGAGAGACAGGCTGGAGAAGCCCGAGGATGTTGTAGCAGAGCTTAGTGGGGGAGTCTGGCAGGAGTTGGAAAGGCCAGCATGCTGACGGAAATTCAGAGGGTAAGACTGCTCCTGGGGTTTCAGGTGGGAATAAGGACTCCACTGGAGATGGGATTAGAAGCTATATGTGTTCCATTCTGGCAAATAACTTGTCTGCATTTTGGGAGACTGAGTTTAATAAATGGTGGACTTGCTGTGCACTGTGGACTCACTCCCGTTCTCCTAGATACCTAAATCAAGAGGGTCATGATTTGAGGCCAGCCCTGGCAAATAGTTCTTGAGATCCCCTCTCCAAAATAATCAGAGCAAAATGGACTGGAGGCATGTCTCAAGCAGTAGAGCATCTGCTTTGCAAGTGTGAAGTCCTGAGTTTAAACTCCAGTTCTACCAAAAATATATGGTGGGCTTTTTATCTGATGGAAGAAATTTCAAGGCAGCTCTGTATCCGGGCTGCAGCATGGCTGGTACTGTCTTCTTTTAGCCGTATTTACAGTGAGAATCAGGAGCGAAAATGGAAGCAGAAGGATTTGAAAAACTTGGAATTTGGCCAAAAAAGGAGAATGCATAAAGTTGGTGCCTAGGAAAGTATGGTTGCTGAAGAGATTAGGGTCATTAAAAAGAAACTGCCAGGCACCAGTAGTTCACACCTGTAATCCTAGTTACTTGGGAGGCAGAGATAAGGAGGATCACGGTTTGAGGCCAGCCAGAGCAAATAGTTTGTGAGACCCTATCTCAAAAATACCCAACACATAAAGGGGCTGATGGAGTGTCTCAAGTGGTAGAATGCCTGCCTGGTAAGCATGAGGCCCTGAGTTCAAACACTAGCACTGGTAAAAGTAACAAAAAGAAGCCAGTACTTTGAAGCAGAACAACAGGAAAGATGCCTGTGGACCATCTCAGGTATTGGCCACATTCCACCTATGGCAGCCTCAAGGGCATGAAAGGGTAAACTCATTTGGAAGACTATCCCTTGAGAAGAGAGTGCCATTGGGCACTCTGATGCCACAGGGCTGCCTCAGAAGCTGTCTCCTCAGGGCTCATTTCACCATATTCAGCCACCCAAGCACTCAGAGGCCACTGCAACTGTGGTCCAGTGCAGCTCAACTAATGCTTGAGCAGGCAGCAGACCTTGTCATCATCTCTGTGACACTGGTTTTTCAAGCATACAGAATGCAACAGTTAAGGGATCATAGATGCTTCCACCCAGATTTCAAAGGAAGACTGGAGAGGCTGGGCAATGTGACAGGCTCAGAATCCCTGGAGGCAGCCCTGAGAGGGAGATAAAAGAAGCTGTGAAGCGTAAACTGAAGTAGAGACCCCAGGATGACAGAGATGCTAGGACCACGGAACATCTGTACAGTGAGCAGAGCCAGCCCAAGAGAGGCAATGTGGGCTGCAGTCAGTCGGGCCCTAACGGTGGGGATTCCCAAGCCCTTTGAACCTCACATCATGGCACCCAATGCCTCAGATACTGTACAGGGAGCTTTAGGGTTTATGTTTGCCCTGATGGGGTTTGGTCTTGCTTTGATTTGACCCTTTTTCTATGTGCCCCTATTTCACCATTTTGGAATGGGAATGTTTACTGTGTATTGTATACTGGGAGTTTTAGCTTGTTTTGAGTTATTTACAGGGACTCACAGCTTAAGAGCTGCTTTGAGGTCTCAGAGGAGACTTTAGACTTGGGCTTTGAGCAATGCTGGAGTTATTAAGACTTCAGGGACTCCTGGAGAGGGACTAAGTGCATTTTGCATTATGAGATGATCATGAGTTTCAGAGTCTTGGGGGTTGAATATGAAGTGTGCCCCAAGAGGTTAGTCCCCAGCTGGTGGATGCAGTCACTGAGAGGTGACTGGACCACAAAGGCTCTGACCTAGTCAATGGATTAATCCTTTCATGGACTCACAATATTAATATTACAGAATGCAACAGTTATGGGATCATGGAGGCTTCCACCCAGATTTCAAAGGAACACTGGAGAAGCTGGGCAATGTGAGAGGCTCAGGATCCCTGCAGGCATCGCTGAGAGGGCTCACATTATTGGGAGGTGGTGAAAAGGAGGTAGGCCCTTGCTGGAGGAAGTAGGTCACTGGGTGTGTGTCCTTGGGAACTGTATCTTGTCCTGGGACCTTCTCTGTCTGTCTCTCTGCTTCCTAGCTGCCATGAGTTGAGCAGCCTCTTCTACCCACTCCCACCACAGTGGTAGTGTCTACCTTGCCTCAGTCCAAAGCAATGAATACAGCCAACCTTGCATTGATACTTCTAAAACTATGAGCCAAAGTAAATCTTTCCTCCTTTAAATTATTTCTCTCAGGTATTTGTCACAGTGATGCAAAGCTAGGTAACACACCATCTCGTGGTCTGTCGACTATATGCTCATTGCTCTCCTGCCCCAAACTCCAGAAATCTCTCCTAGATGACTCTAACTCAGCCTGTCCATCTTTGGACAGGCTAGGATGAATAGGGAAGGGGTAGTGTCCCACAGGGAACATGGCTCTGACACCAAAAAGCTGAGTGATTGTGGGCAGGGCCCTGGATCTCTTTGGCTGATGGGGTTTCTTCTAGTTGCAAGTGGCAGAAACTCACTGCCTTGTGGTCTAAGCAAAGAAAGGAACTGTATATTCCAAGAGGGTGGGATTCAGTCATGGTTGGATCCAGGACACAGACCATGTCCTTGGGCATCTGTCTCTTCTCAGTTTTACTTTCTTTCCCTTTCAAGGCAAACTCTTCCTCAACGTCTAAATGATGAGTCTCAGGTGTTCAGTCCCATAAGAGAGCTCACCTTTCCCCAGAGTTCATACAAACGGTCCATGATTCCCTTTCTTTTCTTTTCTTTTTGTTCTTTTTCATGATTCCCTTTCTTTCTCCTGATGTGAATCACAGATCAAAATCCTCATTCAATCACTGTGACTCTGACTGCCATTCTTCCCAGTGCTGTTGTTTCAGGACATGCCACAATTGAATGGTTAAGAACTCAGGTAGTCCCTGGCTCAGAGCTCAGACAAGACACTTATTATTTGGGAGATGGTGGGCAAGTGACTTCATCCTTCTGAGTCTTGGTTTCTTTATCTGGAAAATAGAATGGAAGAGACTCATGGGAAAGTGGTGTTTGGATCCAAATGGAGAAGGAATTCTTGTGTCCCCATTACTGAGGGGCCTGGATGGTTGTGTTCTTAGGGGTTGGGAGGGACCCCAGGCACAGAGGAGGACAGAAGTCCCCTGAGTCCCAGTGATTCAGATCTGGTTCTAGCAGCCTAGCAGAGCCAGCATTGGGTCCTCTTTGTTCTCTTCTAGATCCAGAGCTCAGAGGAAGGTGTTCTGTATGTCCAGGACCTGGTGCGCACCTTTGGGGACGTGTGCCTCTGGAGGGTGGGGCCGTTGCATGCAGTCATCCGCATTTTCCACCCCACCTGCATCAAGCCCGTGCTTTTTGCTCCAGGTAGATACCATGTGGCCTGCCGCTGAGGTCTCTGTGCTGCCTCCAGCTGGTTGGGTGACCCAGGTTTAGGCAGAAAGGACTGTGGCAGTGACACCCTTGCTTCTGTCTCACCTGCATCCACCTGTCTGACCTGTGGCCATGTCTCCTTGTGTCTCAAAACATGCTGTGTGATGACTTCTGTATAACTACTTCTGCCACAGTTGCACCTGTGTCCTGGTAACACCTGGTGCATGTCATATCTGGTTACCCTGTCAACATGTGGGATTATCTAAACATGGTCATGTCTGAGCTCATCTGGGGCCATGGATATTTGGAGCATGTCAGGACCCATCTGGTTGTTTTCTGAACTGCTGTTTGTGGTTGTTTTTATCTCCTGTTGGCCACACTTGGGCTTGTCATTTTCAGAAATGACTGAGACCTTATTTGAGACTTTTCTAAGGCAGGTCTTGGGTACATCTAGGACATGCCAGAGGCCAAGTTGGAGAGGCTATGGGCCACAGCTGCAATGTTAATGGGAGTATATTTAAATCCTACCTGTGCATGTCTTTTGGGACACATTGGGGTCATGTTAGATCATGTCTGGTCCATGTCACAGCATGTGATGTCTTGTCAGGGAAGGTTTATGTATGTTGAGGCATGTCATGACTTGTTAACTAATACGTACCCATGTCACATGGTTCAGGTGTATTTCAGGAGGTGTCAGAGAGAGCTGGGGTGGACAGGGTATCCTAAGTCTCTGTAAAGGTCTGCAGAGTGTGATGCTGTGCTCGGTGGGGTGGACAATGTGGGAGCCATGTCAAGGTGTGCTGATGTGTGTGGTGCCATGTCAGGCTGTGCCTTGACTCTACTTGCTATATAGCCTGGCCTAGTACCCTAGGCTCCCCTGTCCTTCCTGCTTCTTCTGTCCTTAGCCCCTTTCTGGCTATGCTGGGTTTGGAGGGGAAGTGCAGAGTCCTGGCCGGGATTCCCCCTACTTACCCCCAGTCCATGGCCCCTGATGGTTCTCCTTCATGTCAGCTGTGGTTGCACCCAAGGACAAAATCTTCTACAGCTTCCTGAAACCCTGGCTGGGTGAGTAATGCAGGTGAAGGGGGCTGGGGACAGCCTTGGAGGACAGGGGTATGTTCAGCCATTGCCCACTGCCCATGGCCACCCTCCCAGGGGACGGGCTCCTGCTGAGTTCTGGTGACAAGTGGAGCCGTCACCGTCGTATGCTGACTCCAGCCTTCCACTTCAACATCCTGAAGCCCTATGTGAAGATTTTCAATGACAGCACCAATGTCATGCACGTGAGTCCCTGGAACCCAGGGTCCCAGCTGGAGGTTGGGGAGTGGAAAGGGCCACAGATAGACTATAGTCCTAGCTCTGATGGGTCACTTTGAGATTATTATTATTTTTCTATGAGCCTCAGTTTCCTCTTCTGTAAAATGGCCATGAAAATCTCTACTTTGAGGGGAGGTCCACATAACATAATGGAACCATGCCCCTGCACAGGGTAGGTTCTCAGAAGGGGTTAGTTTCTACTTTTCTCTCAAAGCTTTGTTAACTGAACTCAGTATTGATGAAGATTGCACAGTAACTATTGATGAGCAAGAAGACACTTCAAGCCTCATTGCATTGACAGTTTAAGGGTTGATGACTGCTGACAAGGGTGGAGGTCCATGGTCTGGTTCTTCTGTGCCTCTGGGATGGGCTCACTCATGGGATATGAGGAGCTGTGAATCACTTGGGCAGCTTGGCTGATCCTGGCTCAGTTCTCTTACATGGTTGGGGCTTGGCCAACTTCAGGTTGTTTTAGACTGACCTCAACTGGGACAAATGTATTCGTGTTCCTATAATTCTCCTGTCATTCACATGGCACAGAGAGTGTCCTATGGGAGGGAGAGGAGGCTGAAATGCCTCTTAGGTTTAGTTGTATGGCCTCATCAATTTCCCCACATTGTGTTGGCCTAAGTCAGAAATTCAGCACAGAATCAAAGGGCTTGCGAATCAGGCTCCACCTTTTAACAAAAGTTGCTAAAATCATTTCTCACAGGCATGGGTAACAGGAAGAAGCTAAGCACTGGCAATGAAGACTTTGTGATGGGCAGAGGATTTTTTCCTGCCTGTAAGCTAATAAGTTAGCTTCTTACTATCTCATGGATTCTTCCAGAATCTGAGATTTCTGCACCAGAGACAAAGGGAAGTCAATTACAAAGGCACAACCAGCATTCACTTCATATGTTGGTTTCCATCGTTTCCCCAAGTCACCCAAATCCCATCATGGTGATGCAGGTGGATGCAGTTGTTGCCTGCTTGCTTAGGATATTGCATTGTAGGGGAGGAAATGTGACTTAGAAAACCTTCTTCTACAGTGAGCAGAAGCAAGCATGACATTTGAGTAGGGGTAGCCATTCCTCCTCTCTCCTGCTCTTCTCTGCAAACACAGCCCTGAGAAATGGCCCAGGTTAAGAGCGCCAGGCAAGTGCGTTCTTGGCACACTTGGTGAGGATTCACAAGGAACAATGAAGAACCACCTCTCCCAACACAGGAATATTTTTTGAAATCAATTTATAACAACGAAGATGAGGAAAGCTTACCTTGTTGGAGCACCAAATGTGCCATCCCATTAAATCTGTCTGGGTTATTTTTTGCCCCATTATGGATGATGAATGTGAGGATCAGACACTTTAAGGAGTTTGCCCAGGTCTATCCAGCTAGTAAGAGCATTAGGAATGGTGGAGTGGGGATTCCACCCTGGTTTATTGCACACTAAAATAGGTCAACTTAACTGTTTCTCCAGAGTTGACCCAGTGGGACATGGCAGAGGGCAAAGATATGGTCAAGGGTGCATTGAGCATGGCAGGCAGAGCTAGGGCTTGAATTCAGGGTTCCTGATCCCAGCCTTGGGTTTCATTTGCTACAGGAACAGCTTCCACTCCCACCCAGGCCTGGTTATCCCTGAGATTGGGTACTTGGGGCAGAGGACAAGGTGGTACCAAGAAGCTGTTTCTGGGGAGTCCATCCTGGTGGTTGCAGTTGGGGAACGTTCTCAGGGAGCCAAGACCCAGCCCTGTCCCCTTCCCTGGCCAGGCCAAGTGGCAGCGTCTGATCTCAGAGGGCAACACCCGTCTGGACATGTTTGAGCACATCAGCCTCATGACCTTGGACAGTCTCCAGAAATGCATCTTCAGCTTCGAGAGCAACTGTCAGGAGTGAGTCCCTGCCTAGGGCATCAGAAACTGAGCCATTGACCCAAAGGAGGAGGCAGGGAAGGGAGGACTTTCCAGAGAGACCATAGGGAACTTACTGGAAGAGGTGGCTCAGAACTGGCCTTGAAGGACAGGGAAGGGGAGAGAGTGAGTGGTCCTTCCAGGGAGGTGGAATTATTTAAGGTCATGGGTGCAGGTGAGCTGAGGATGCATGAGGATCAGTGAAGAGGCATCTTGGAAATAAGGTTGTAGGGATAGGCAGTGGGTAGGTCCTCAGGACACTGAAAAGTTATGCTGAATTTGAACTTCATTGTGAAGTTTTCAGGGATCCACTAAAGGTGTTTGAGCTTGTGTTAGTCATATTTCCCTTACTGTGACAAAATACTTGAGATACTCAACATAGAAGAAAGAAAGGTTTGCTTTGGCTTACAGTTTTACAGGCTTCAGTCAATGGTTGGACAGCTCCATGGCTTTGGGCCTGTGGTGGCACAGTGCATCCTGGCAAGAGCACTTGGCATCAAAGGCCAGCTTACCTCATGCAGTTGTGAAACAAAGAGAGACACAGGAAGAGGAGGGGTCCCAAAATTCCCTCCAGTGACCTAACTTCCTCCCACTAGGCCCCACCTCTTAAAGGAGGCAGCTCACAGAGATGCCCTGCAGGGGGAGAAGGGATGGTGGAGAGTCCAGGTTCATGGCTCGTCCCCACCATGGATCTGTGAGGCCATCTGTTTCTGGATGCTCCGTATCCCAACAGGAGATGGCTCCCAGATGGTGCTGTGAGGTGCTCCTTGGGCTTCAGGGATGTTAAGTGATTACCCTTTTTATGCCCTCACCCTGCAGGAAACCCAGTGACTACATCGCTGCTATCTTGGAGCTCAGTGCCCTTGTGGCCAAAAGACACCAGAATCTGCTTCTGCACATGGACTTCCTGTATTACCTCACCGCTGACGGGCGGCGCTTCCGTAAGGCCTGCCACCTAGTGCACAACTTCACAGATGCCGTCATCCAGGAACGACGTCGTACCCTCCCTGATCATGGTATCGATGACTTCCTCCTGGCCAAGACCAAGTCCAAGACATTGGACTTCATTGATGTGCTGCTGCTGACCAAGGTGGGCTTCTCCAGAGAAAGAATGGATTTGAGGTCAAATGTCAGGTCAGATAACTTGGGCTTGATGCAGAGGGTACTGTGGCAACATGGAAGGTGCCTAAAGAAGGGTGGGACATTCCAGTGATAGATTTTAATGGCGAATCTGGATTCCAGACCATAGGGACTGATAAAGTCTGAAACTCTGAAGAGCCTGAGAAGTCACTCTGTTTACAAGTTATAAGTTAGTGCATGGCAGTAATCTATGAATCCACATGTGTGTGGACAACTGACCAGCTCCATGATCTCAGCAGCCCTCTGGCTACTCACAGCAATAACAGCAGCCAGGGTAGGACTGTAGCAATGGCTTCCTATTCCCAACCCCCCGTTCTCCAGGAAATGCCATGATTCTTCCTGTATGTGCAGCAGGGTGTACTCTACAGAAGTGACACCTGTACATTCTGAGTCTTGGAGCTTCTATAGGAAAATGGGACACCTAACTTTTCTTCCCTTCTGGGGGAGAGAGAGAGAGAGAGAGAGAGAGAGAGAGAGAGAGAGAGAGAGAGAGAGAGAGGAGAAAGGGAGGAAGGAAGGGGAGGGACGGAGGGGGAGGGAGAGGAAGAGGGAGAGGGAAACTTTGTTTTGGAATCTAAAGTTAGGTAATGGCAGAGAGACAGACAGACAGACAAAAATAGAGACAGAGAGATGCTTTGTTTGGGATTCTGAACAAGTTACGTAATGACTGTGTGCCTGCAAACCAAATGCTTCCAGAGAGTTAAAATAAAATTCTCTGAATTTAGCACATGAGAGTGGAAGCAAATATCCTCGAGTAATGATTAATCTGTAACTTCGAAGGTAAATGCATGCAGTCACCCTATAAACCTGGCAGCCAGTAAGTTTTTTTCCTCAGAAATCCCTCATCATGAAGAAACGCAAATATATTCATGGGTCCCTTATTCCTCCAGCTAGGGATGTAGCAGGAAACCAAGATTCTAGGCCAGGAAGCTGTAGAGTGGGGACTCTGGTGATGGTGACCAAGAGAAGTCCACTGGCGGAAGTGACTTGGGCTTTGGATGGAAGATGGATCTACAGAGATTGTCCCAGGTTAGATCAGGAACCCTGGGTTTAATTTGGAAGTCTTGCCTTCTCTCCAGGATGAAGATGGAAAGACGCTGTCAGATGAGGACATAAGAGCAGAAGCTGACACCTTCATGTTTGGGGGTGAGGGTCCAACTGTAAGACGACCAAGGGGTCAGGGCTTTTTCCATCCCAGGGACTGGGGGCTGGGCCCTGGGTCACTCCATCTTGCCCATGCTCTCCCCATCCTGCCTGGGGACTAATGCGTGGGAGCTGTTTACCCTCCATGGTGCTGAAGCAGTCTAGTCTGACATGTCCCTCAGGCCATGACACCACAGCCAGTGGTCTCTCCTGGGTCCTCTACAACCTGGCAAAGCATCCAGAACACCAGGAGCACTGCCGGCAGGAGGTACAGGAGCTCCTGAGAGACCGAGACCCTACAGAGATCGAATGGTGAGTGCTGGTCCTGGTGGCCTGTTCTCCAGCCCCTCTCCTTGGCTCTGCTCCCAGATGGGAGAAGAAAAGAAGGAGGAAGGGAAAGGAGGGGGGAAAAGAAGACAGGAGAGGAAGAGAGAAAGTTTGTTTGTGAATCGAGGGTGGGGGGAGAGAGAGAGAACTGAATCATCTGAATCACATTGAGAAAATGGCACTGGAGATGGCAGCAGCTGAGGCCCACAGGGGAAGGCTTGGAAAGCGATGCTGAAGACTTCACTTTTCACTCAAGGGCAATAGAGAGCCATGGGAGGTGTCTGAGAAGAGGAAGGACAGGTCGGATCTGGGTATCAGAAAGATCTTTATAGGGAACCTTTTAAGTTTTCACCCCTTTAATCTTCTATTTTCAGATTGATCTAATTCTTCATGATTTTTTTTTTTAGTCTTCTAAAAACATTTTAGAGAAAGTGTACCAAGGACCTTTAAAAATCACATACCTGAAATCCAAGAGGACTTTTGGAGCCAGGTGTGGTGGCACATGCATGTAATCCCAGAACTAGAGAAGCTGAGGCAGGAGGATGACAAGTTCAAGGACAGCGTGGGATACTTAGGAAGATCCTATCTCAAAAGACAAGGCAAAAGTAGTTCTGGAAGGATACAGTAAAAACAGTAACCTCTGTGGGAAGAGGAATGGATGGTGTTGGGCCATACTGATGTTTTATAGATTTCAAATTTTGAGCCAGTTAACTGGCCAGGTTATACAATTTTAAATAGCCATACAAAAAGATTAAACAAAAGAATGCAGCACCCTTACTGTTTATATGTTTCCTGTGGTTTCTCTTGTGTTTTTTAAATATGAAATCCCCATCTGACAAAACAGTACTCTTTCATTATTCTTGTCTAATTGCATTTGCTGGCATCTCTAGTACAATGATAAAGAAGAACAAAGGCACCAAGTCGGTTTATTTTGTTTCTTACTCATTTGCATTTTGATTCTGCTCTCTTGCTATAGGAATATTTACTTTTATTCAAATTTACCCTTGGTTTTTGGATATTGGGTTTGCTTAAGAAAAAGTTCCTGAAGACACCTGGCTTTATTTTCTCCAATACTTTCCTAGTTCTGTGCTTTTGTCAATATTTTGTTTTATTTGAGACTGGCCTCAAACTTGCCATCTTCCTGCATCCCAAGTGCTGGGATTACAGGTGTGCTCCACCACACCCAGTCAATTCTCTGCTTTTCTTATTCTGAAATATTTGATCCATCTGGAGCTTATTTTATTGCGGAGAGAAAAGGCTTCAGAAGCAACGCAGGAGCTGGAGCACCCTTGATTTTGTTCCCTGGGTAATTGTTGGTGGGGTTTCCTTAGGGACGACCTGGCCCAGTTGCCCTTCCTGACCATGTGCATCAAGGAGAGTCTGCGGCTGCATCCGCCGGTCATGGCCATCTCCCGCTGCTGCACCCAGGACATCAAGCTCCCCGATGGCCGGGTCATCCCCAAAGGTGCCACAGCAGGAAGTCGGGCAGGAAGTGGGGACCATCATGCAGCGGGGCCTTGTCCTAACGTCGTCGTCCTCCTCCTCTCCCACAGGTGTTATTTGCCGTATCAGTATTTTTGGGACTCATCACAACCCAGCAGTGTGGCCAGAACCTGAGGTGCTGCTTTCCCTTCCCCCAGTGCTTGTCCTAGAGGAGGCGGTGGAGTTCCCCAGCACAGGCACACCTGTCTGTCCATGGCTGTGCTGGAGACCCCACCCTGCAGCCTTGTCCCTTTTTCTCCCGCAGGTCTATGACCCCTTCCGCTTCGACCCAGAACACATCAAGGACAGGTCACCCCTGGCTTTTATTCCCTTCTCGGCGGGGCCCAGGTGAGACCCGAGCGTGTGAAGAGGTAGTGTGGTGGTGGGGCGGGGGGGTCTGGCTTAACAGTGGACTTGGGGGGTGGGGACGGTCAGAGTCTCAGGTATCGTTTCTGCCACACCTGCACAGCTCCTGTGGAAAGGTTTGGAGGATGGGGCTGGGTAGGACCAAAGCCCTCCGTGGGGCGCTCAGAGCCCCTGCCTGACTGCTGCTCTGAGTTAGGGTCTGGGCCAGGCTGGGGACAAGGGTGCCCAAAGCCGCCCTTAGGACTGGCCAGGTGGGGCGCATTCCCCGGCCAGGGTCGGTACCTTGGGGTCCGAGTGGGGTCCCGGGCAGTCAGATCTCCCACCGTCCACAGGAACTGCATCGGACAGACGTTCGCCATGAGCGAGATGAAGGTGGCGCTGGCGCTGACGCTGCTGCGCTTTCGGGTGCTGCCCGACCACGCGGAGCCGCGCAGGAAGCCTGAGCTGATCCTGCGCGCAGAGGGCGGGCTGTGGCTGCGGGTGGAGCCGCTGCGCGCGGGCGCTCGGTGACCACAGCCTGCGGGACCCGACCGTGGACATCCACCCACCATGCAGCTTCCCAGGGATAAGACCACGCTGTCACCTGTGTGTGCCCTGGGTCCCCCCCCCCCACCGCCGATCCCACCCACCCACCATGCAGAGTCCCAAGGATAATAGTGCACTTTCACCTGTGCCTGCGCTGGAACCCTGACTCCACCCATCCACCATGCAGATTCCCTGGGATAAGACAGTGCTGTCACCTGTGTCTGCCCTCGACCTCAAACCCCACCCACCCACCATGCAGATTCCCAGGGATAAGACCACGCTGTCACCTGTGTCTGCCCTGGGTCCCCCCCCCACCGCCGATCCCACCCACCCACCATGCAGATTCCCAAGAATAAGACCGTGCTGTCACCTGTGTCTGCCCTGGGATCCCAAACCCCACCGCCATGCAGATTCCCAGAGATAAGATTGTGCTGTCACCTGTGTGAGGATCAGCTTAGGTTGGGTCAAAGGATTTCATCAGTACCAAATGTTACAAATGTTAGTCTCACTAACTCTCTTCCCATATGCTGGCTTCATGGACTCTGCTTAACCTGATGAAAATTTCTACTAAGAACAAAGGGTTGTTATCCTGGACAAACTTCCACTAGATGTCCTCATTCTGGAGCTGATAACCTAAAACAGTTATTGCTTCCCTGAAATTTAAAAATTCTTTGTCTATAAAGCCCCCTCCTGATGTCCCCTTTCCAATTAGCCAACAGCACAGACACTGAACTGGAAACCTGCCCATTTCAGGGGAGGGGCAGCATTGCATTAAAGATAAAACCCAAGTGGACTCCCAGCTGTGTGCACTTGCTCTTTGTCTATGGCGCATCATTCTGGAGAAGTAATTTTGCCTTGCTGGTTGCTTTCTGAGTTGTGTCATCTTTCTCATGACACCCCAATAGCTTAAAGATAGTTCTGAAAACATGGGGGCTTGTCCCGGATTTTCACATGCTTAGGGAACCATGGAGACCTCCTTCTCAGGGGAGATGCATCCTGCCACCTTGTTGCAGTGGCCTTAGAGCTGGGGGGATCTGCTATCTCTGTGGCTGACAATGAACTCCAAATCAAAAGCCAATTGGCAATGAAGGAAAAGGGACCAACCCAAGCAACCATCATGGAGGACCAGGTAAATCTGTGCGTGGACCAAGGTAGAAAAGTCAAGTCCAACTTTGGAGGTCAGGACATCTGGAGGCTTTGTGGGTGTGACTGGGACTTGTCTCAGTCACAAAGCAAGTGCTGACTCCTGAGGCAGAGGAAGCATTTTAGGTAGAATATAAGAAATATCCAATATGGGGCGGGGGTTGAATAGTCCCCCGGGGATATGGATAAAATGCAGGGAACCTCCAGTATAGGGACTGAGCCTTTTCCTGGGGAAGTAGACACAGCCAAGGTTAAGGGATGAGTAACAAAAATTCAGTTCCAAAAAGGGAGACTCACAAGAGAACAGACACATCGTCCATCATTCCACCGGACAGCCCTCTGAGTTTGGTTTAAAAAGGTTTTTCTGAGACAGCACTCTAATTTTGTGTGTGTCAACTTGTATAAAGACTGGGAAAAATTTAATTTGCTCCTGGAATTCCAGCTCATCTTATGTATGCTTAAGTTGACTTTTTTTTGGCATGCTTAATTTATAAAACTTTTGTGTATGTGTGTGTGTAAGCATCTTCAAAATGGTTCTTAAACTGCTGTTAAAAGGTTAATGTTATATTCAACATAATGAAAAACCCAGGATGTTTGCATTGGAGATCTCTGTTGGAGACTGCGTAAGCCCTTTTTTGTGTATAAATATATAAACATCTTAAGGAGATCCTTATCATACAGTTAATATAAAAATAGTTAACTTCTGCCGTATTCTACTGCTACTTAAAAAAACAGTTTTCAAACTTGTTTCAATCAGGTCTCACTAATCTCACGCATTCAGGGGTTAACACTGCGTCACACTAGAGGACAAAAAAAAAAAAATAGAAAGGGCCATGTGAAACCCAGGCAGCCTGAAACAGGAATCTTGGAATTTAGGTAGTTAAAAAATGACCCTTGCCTGTTTCATTGTGTCATAAATAAAATCTGGGATTTAATTCCCTCTTACAATATATGGGTCTATTAACAAATGGGCTTTCTATAAGCTGTTTATATACAAAAATAATATTAAGATTGCTTTCTTCCTTTTTAAAAATACAAATATAAATCTCTGTGTTAAAAGGTCTTATAAATTATTTTCAACAAATAGAAAATATGTAAAAGCTACTAAGGATATGTTTTTTTTTAAGGCTAAAGAAAAAAGCACTTTTGGATAAAAAGGATTATGTAAAAAAAAGGTTGTCCTCAAGAATTGTCTTCCCCCCAAAAAAGATAAAACTTTTAAGAGCCTATGTGAGTGACTAAGTTGACTTAAATCTAACAGTTACATTAAAGGTTTTGCAAAGTTTAATTAAAGTTAAACTTTAATGTACTGATATTAAACTAAAACCTAATTCTCTAAGCTTATAACAAGGCTTTCTTAAAAATATTGTTCTGTTGATAATATTTACAAAAAGTAACTTAAAAAAAGGCTTTTGTTTTGTCAAGATAACTATCAAAGATTTTTTGTGCTACAGGTTGATCGAAGAATTTACCAAGGCAATCAAGTAGGAGAACAAGAGTTTATTAGGACCCAGAGAGGCGATAGGCAGCTGAGCACCGGGAGTGCTGCTGCACTGAAATGAGGAGAAAAATTTATTTATGTAAAGCCAAATAAAACAAAATAAAAGTGCACCCTCCAGAGAGGATACAGAAAACTCAAAAAGGAGCACTGCACTGGAGGTCTTGAGACCTCAAGATTTTATTAGAGCCAATGGAGTGGAGGTAATTATTCCAAAAACAAAACAAAACCTGGATTTTGTGTCATTAACTCTCAAACAGTGGGCTGGGCAGCATTTACTCCTTCCACATGGCAGGCAGAGAGAATTTTTGCTCTGGGATGTCCAGATTGGGCCTGTTATTTTAGAGGGGCTCCATTGACTAGAGATTGGTGGAATCCTGCTGTATATAATAAACCATGAATTAATGTCAACACTCTGTGATGTGAGCCCTTCTCAACATCTGAGCCATAATTCTTGGCCACTAGATTTCCTAACTCCACACTTAGTCCCCATAAATATTTACCTGTGTTCTCTGGTGATTTTTGTCAGGGTTTTGACCACTAAGGTAACTGAGTCATGTTCATTTAAGAGTTGGTTTATGTAAAATTTTCAAGATGACCTCATGGTTAACCAACTGTTGTCTTGGGTGATTCTAAGTTAGTGCCTTGTATGTGTCTGTGACTAGGCTGTTTGGGGTCACTGACTCTGTCCACCACCCCCATGACTGATGGGAAATCTGGGGTTTTGGATTTTGTCAGTGTGGACATGTTTTCATACCTATCCAAAAATCTAAGATTTTACTCCAACGGTAACAACTAAATTAAAATGTATGTGTCACCTCTGCAAAAGTGTGTTGTTAAGTGTATCAAGCCTTCTAAAATACAAAGTGAGACTGCAGGAGGTCAAGGAGACACTTCTCCCTCCCAGGAAATTTCTGCATCTGAAAGGCATCTCTGCCCTCAAGCAATGCACAAAAAGGCTATAAAACCCCACTCCCCATCCTGACCCATGGGACCACCAGTTTCTGGGTGCCCCTGCATTCACCACTATACAGTCTTTCTCTTCTCTTCCCTACAAATAAAATCTTTCCAACCTTTGCTGCCGAGTCTACCTGTGCTTTCATTCTCAGAGCAGTCTCAATAACCCTGAGCACCTGAAATTCTTGTGTGTGTCACCTGTGCCTCATACTTGGTGATGCACCAAGGGACCAGTGTTCACCTGAGGTTGGTATAGGTTGTGCCAAATTGGGAAAGGCTGCCTAGGAACGTGACTGTGACCATCTGGCACTCTGATGGAGTCTGTTCTCCAGGACAGCCCCCACCATGGCCTTCTCTCTCTCTCTCTCTCTCTCTCTCTCTCTCTCTCTCCCCCTCTATCTATCTTAAGAAGGATTTCTCCCTCAGGAACCTGAGGAAAAGCTCTGAACCCATTACAGCTGTAAGGCAGGCAACCCGAGAGAATTCAGGGGCTGGCTGGGGGCTTATACCAGACTGCCAATACTATGTGGGTGGAGCCAGACTTCAGTGCACCGAGGCTTTTTTTTCCCTCTCCTTAAAATTTCTCTCTCTCTCTCTCTCTCTCTCTCTCTCTGCAAGATCTGACCCGCTTAGGAGGAGGTCTGAAAACAGCCAGTGGAAAGGAAAGTTTCTCTTCAACTTATAAGGGTCCTCTGGCCAGGGCAACTCCATGGTGTCACCCAAAGGCTGGAGATGTAACTTCCAACCCCCCTCCAGCCATGTCCATGGCAAACAGACAATCAGATCCCTCATGCTTCCTTCATGGTTTCCATGGCCCGAGAGTGGAGGTCACCCCTTGCTTCCAGTGCTCCAGTACTGCCTTTGGCAGGATTGACCTGGACAGCAGTGATGATCAATAATCCCTCATGCATTGAGCCTGGACACTCTCTTTTTCCCCAACCCTCATCCTCTCCTTCCCCTTTCCCAAACAGTTCAGGATGAGTGACCTACCCCCTTTGTTCTAAACAAACTCCTTCTTCAGCAAGTCTAGGAGAGATCCCTACATCCCCCTCTGCCATGACAGACATCAGTTACACTATAACTTAGGCTTAACTGTCTTTGTCAGGCATCAGGTCAACTGGTTAAACAGTTTCTGCAGCCTGCCCCCAGGAAAAGAAAAAAAAAACAGTTAAAAGGCAGAGACCTTAAGGTCTCTATTTTTGTCCCTTACCACAACAAAAGCCTTCAGATGCTCCCTCTCCTTTTTTTCCATAAAAAGCATATATGCCTCACAGGATATATAGGGGAAAAAAGTCTACATCATCAGGAGTCCCCATGCACACCTCTGCAGGGGTCCTCCCTCTGGCCATGCAAGCCCTTTGGTTACTTTGATAGAGTTATTTTTAAATGACAAGCCTTCAGCTGGTAGAGGAGAGCAAGGTACCTGGGTCACAGGGCAAACAGGCAAGTCAAAATAAACAGATGAGAAATGGGTCAGGGGTCATTCCGCAGGGGGCGGGGGGTGGCTGCAAATGGAAAATCTAAAAGTCCTCCTTGGCCTTAACCACAGGTGGCAGTGGCGGGAGCAAGGGAGAGCGGGACGCCCTCTCCCTCTAGAGTTTCTCCTTATCTGGGGACACTTAGATAAAAGGAGAAACCTCTGTTAAGGTGACCAATTTTCCCTTGTTTCTCTTTTTAGTCAGGAAATCAAGCCTCAAGGATGCAGGAAGCATCCACTCTTGCTTGCTTATTAAAACATTGGAAAGATCTTGATCCAGAAAGTCCTCAGCAAAAGTGACTCAAGTTTTACTGCACCCAGGCTTGGCCACTGTATCCTCTGGGAGATGAGGAAACATGGCAGAGGGAGGGAGCATTAATTATAATACCATTCTTCAATTAGATATGCTCTGTAAAAAGGAGGGAAAGTGGACTGAAGTTCCATACGTTCAACTGTCCTTTTTCCTAAGAGACCACCCAGAATGTCTGAGCAAATGCAGGCTAGATACCCAGACCATGGTGACATTTTGCAAAAAACCCTCAAACTTCCTTGAGGAGCCAGAACTAAAAAAAAAAAAAAAAAAAAAAAAAAAAACCAACAAAACCAAAAACCAAAAAACCACCATCTAATGCTCCGTAAGCTCCCCCTCTTCCCCCTTACCCAGCCACCTCACACACTAGACGCTGTCCCACAGGACTTTACCCTCTCCAGTTAATTCCTAGAGGGGACAGAGCTCATGTTCCTTTTAGAGTGAGTGAACTTAAAGAAATAAAAAAGGATTTAGGAAATTACACAGAAAATCCAGATCAGTACATCCAGGCATTTAGAGAAGTCAGCCAAAACTTTGAACTGAGCTGGAAAGATGTAATGTTATTGCTATGTCAGACCCTTACTTCTCTGGAGAAACAGTGGGTTCTAGATCAGGCAGTCACAGCTGCAGAAAATTATCACTTATATAAAAGCAGCCCTACAGGCCTGTCTCCTACTGGGCC